CTCCTCCTCCTCCTCGGTGTCTTCTGCTCCTGACATTTCTTCCGTGGAGCCCCCGTCGTCATCATCCGAGTGGAGAATTTCAGTCGCCATTGATTGCGTTGGCGACTGCCCCGAGTGGGGCTGCACGTCCTCGACGTGTGCTGCCTGCGAAGGCACGGCTGCAGCCTCGCTGCTCGTCGCCAAAATGTCTAAGGCGGAAGGCGAATGTACCCGAGCGGCATCCCCGTCGCTTACTTGTTGATTGCCTCCCGCATTCTCTCTGTCGCCGTCGTCCGTCGCCGAAGGCGATCGAGCGGAGGGTGGCTGCGCGGGATTGGATTGCGCATCGCGCATCGAGATGTCGTCCCGCGGACAGTCACTCCGCTCCTCCGTCTGCTGCTCCCTTGATCGGTCCGTGGGGGCTGTGCCCGGCCCGTGCGCAGGCGCATTTGCCGGCGCCTTGTCCGTCGCAGGCGTAGCGCCGCGGACATCTATCGCCGAAGGCGACATGGCCGGGGGCCGCACGCCCGATGTTCCTTGGCCTATAGGCCCTACCGCCGAAGGCGCATCTATCGGCGGACTTTCCGCCGACGGTGCGGCCTCCGCACGCTCTCTGCTCGTATCTCCTCGGCTCGAAGGCCCTGGCGCCGAAGGCGCGAATTGCGGCGCGTGGTGCGCCGGAGGGTCTGGCCCCGAGGGCCGGTGTCTCGTAGGCGGTTCTTCCGCCGGCTCCTTCCCCTTCCTACGTTGGAACGGGGGTGATTCTTGCCTGTGCACAGGCGGCACGTGTGGAGGTGTCCTGTTCACAGGCGACCTGTGCACAGGCGACCTGTGCACAGGTGAGCGCCTGTGCACAGGCGGACTGCTCCTTCCCACGCGTAAGCGTAGATCCACGTCCACTTGTGTTCGCCGGTCCGCGGAGGCTCGTCCGTCCGCGGAGGTTCGCCTGTGCGCAAACGGAACATCTGTCCGCATCGCACGTGGTAACTCCGGAGGCCCTTGGCCCGTAGGCGGCCTCTCTCCCGACGAGGTTGCAGCGTGGCCCGTCGCTCCTGCGGTCGTCCGCGCTTCTTCTCGCCTCTCTGGCGACGCACTTCCTATCTCCGTCGCAATCGTCGCCGTCTCTGCACTGTCAGCTGGTAACACCAGTCTGCGTGCCTTCTGCTTCGGCCGGCTGTATGGCTCGCACAGCGGCCGCGGTCGAATGGAAGCAGAGGGTTCTTGATGCTGCTCCTCTTCGGACTCTTCCCTCCATCGCCGCTTCCGCGGCACTCGCGCTGCAGGAGTGTGTCGCCCTTCGTCCCTCCGTCTTGATGGGGTAGAAGTCGGTGACTCCTCTGCGTCAGTATCGACCTCGTTCTCCCGCACATACTTCCCGGGATGGTCGATGGACAATGGCGGAAAATGTTCAAGCTCTGCCGCTGTCAAACAATTCCGCTGTCGATAAAAATTGATGAGGAAAGGAGAAAGATGGTTTAGAGTTCCCCCCTTCTCTTCAAACGCGTGCTGTCGCATCACCCTGTGCAGGATGCTCGCCCAGTGAATTGGGGTTCCCTCGATGACGCACTCCACAAAAGAGACCTGCCACAATGTGATGTAGCAGGCGCGGTGCGGCTGTAGTAATTGCATCAGCGCCGCGGACAAAGTCCGGCGAAATCGATCTTTGTAATCACGGGTCCTGTACCCATTCTTGGTAGACCTCCCGGTCTTGAACAGCTCCACAAATTGCGCTTCTTCTTGCTTGGTCACCTTGATGCTCTCGCTGTCGAAAAGGAGATGCCCTGGCATGCCAGCCCATCTTCCCAACGCCTGCGCCCAATCTTGGACTGTCCACCGGTCAACATGCGGACGCAATCCGCGCGAGGGTGGTCCCTGTGGCTCTAGCCACTCGCGCACCATATTCGCGCAGATGTAATTCCATCCCCATAGCAAGAAATCGAGCTTTCTTGCTATTAAGCGCTCTTCGAAAGCGCGCAGCCCGTTCTGCGGCAGGCGAAGTGGCACCATCCGCAATCTGCTCGGTCTCGTCATTGCGTTCCTGGGGTTCGCTCGCCCGCTCATTCTACTTCCGCACTGTCCGCGTTTCTTTCTCTCTCGGCAAACTCTAATCGCTCTCAATTCCAAATCACGCGTACTCACTTCTCCCTCAATCAACAAGAAATCTCCTGTGTGACGACGTCGAGAATGGTCCGCAGCCAGCAGATGGATGCGCGCAGCGCGCACAAGAGATTGGAATCGCGAATTCAAGAATGGGACGCTCTCCGCCGCCCGGTCGAAGGTCATGGTCGGCTCTTGGTCGTGAAGAACGTCTCGCTTGATGGCCGCGCCGGCTGTACGCTGGAACGGTCTTCGCTCTCACGCGCGGCTTCACGCTCCGCCGTCGTCGATTAAACTCTCACGCTCGAATTGGCGGATTTGAACTCCGCGAGCGTGTCACCCTGCGGACATGGGGGCGTAGCGCCGAAGGCGAGTTTTCCGCCTTGCGCGGTACATTTGTTCGTACCGCCCTTCGGCCAATCTCCTTCTGCCTTGACGCGTGCGTCCGCATGTCGGACAAAAATTCAACTCCTGCCTGTGCGCAGGCAGGAGCCTCGGCGGATCCTCCGCCGGTGCGGAACTCCAGCCTCCTGTGCACAGGCGTTCGCCTGTGCGCAGGCGAAGTCCGTCCGCGGCGCTGCGCTGGCGCGGAAGGCGTTGACCGTGGTCAGCCGTCTCCGTCCAGTCTGTCCGTTCCTTGTCTCTCCGTCGGCGCTTCCGCCGCCGCAACTCCGTCCGTCCAAGAGCGCATCCACCTGTGCCGTCCGCACGGTCCGTACCTGTTGGATTACTCTGGCGGCTCTTCCGACGTACGCGGCGCCGCGCTGGCGCGGAAGGCGCCGTACACTTTCTACCTCACAAGGCGCATTTCTAGGGCCCAAGGCGGATTTTCCGCCGACGCCGAAGTGCCTGTGCGCAGGCGAACGCCTGTGCGTAGGCGGACTTCGCGCCTTCCCTAACCCTACTTCGCCTGTGCACAGGCAAACGCCTTCGTCTGTGCATAGGACAAAACTTGAATCCCCCTTCCGCGTAGGCGGAATTCGCGCCGGTGGCGAACTCCTTCCGCCGTAGGCGACCGCCTCCGTTTCTTCCAGTAGCGATAACTCCCTAAGTCCTCGTCCGTTCCAAGCGTTCTTGGGCTCGTTAGAATCAGCGCGTCGAGCTCTGTCCAACGGGACCCTAACTTGGTCAAGGCGCCCGAGGGTTGACCTAATTACGGGGGTTTCCCTACAGCCGCGGACGCAACCTCCGAAGGCGGGTTTTGCGCCTTGCGCCGTAGAGATCCTAACTGCGGAGCTCGCAGGGAGGGTGGTGCCTGTGCGTGCTGCGGCACCCCAAATCCCAGATTCTACAAGATCCCTCGAGAATCCCCGCGATCTTCCGGATTCACTCTGTTTTGATGTACCGAAGGCTATTTACAATGCTGCCAGGGTACAGTTTTTCAAAAATGTTTTAATTTCCTCAAAATTGCCAAAAGTGGGGTACCACACTGTTTGACAGTGATTGCTGTTAGAATTTTTTTTGAATTTTTTTCCACTCAGCTAATATTTCTTGCATCAAATTATTATGCTTTCGTGTGCTTAACTTGATTCTACGACATCCTACATTCAATTTATGTATGATACTGGTTTTAGGTAACATATGTAACACTTTTGATATTCATAACTTCGTCTTCAAACGGTAGCATTAGTGGTGAGAGCACCGGTACTTAAGCATTATTTGCAATGTAAGTTTGACTTCAATTTGTTCTTATAAATATTGATGGTCCTTGAAACCTTGTATTACTCTTATCACCAACGCTCTTCTAGAATGTTTTGTTTAATTAATTGCTTAACCAAAAACCTTACTGTTCAGTTGTTAAGTTGAATAAAGAAATACGAAGCAAGACCAATAATATTCCAGATGTCAATTTAAATAATTTAAGGGTGAATATTGCGAAGTAATTCGATCAAATAGTTTTTTCAGATATTTCAACATTAATTTTTCCCGGAACTGAAAGCTTAATTTTATAAGGTTAATATATAAATAAATATTTTTTATTATTTTTGTTGTCAGGTGATTTTGGAAGATTATTATGATCCTATGTACTAAAGGAAATATTTTTTCCAAATCAATTCCACAAAGATCTAAATAATCAAAGATGCACAACTTGATTAGACTTGTCATAAAACTGAGTTTTATGACAAGTTTAATCAATTTGTGATTCATTAATCAAGAACCCAACATAATTTCCATATGAGAATTTTGGGATATGATCATGGTTTTGAGATTTTATCTTTTGGATGTTTAGTGAATTATCTAGCTAGATAAAAACTCAACGAGCAAAACTAGAAAGTTTCCTTTCTGCCTGCAATGATTTAAGGATTAGTTACAGGATAAATATACTTCCTGTTTAGGTTGCTGCCCAGCAAGAAAACCTAGCGAAAATGTTTTATTCATGTTTATGTGATAAGAGGAATATATGGCTCTTGTCAAGGATATATGCTTTTTTTAAAACCAGGTCTTGCATACTGAAAATAACATGACATTAAGATGATAGTTTATTGAGAACCTATGGAGTTTGAAGATGTGATATAATACGACCTACTTCTAAAAAGAATCTCAAAAGCTTGCAGAAAAAAATACTCATATTTTGTAGACAAAAACTACAGATATACATTCAAAAGAACCAAAAGTTTCCACAGATAAATAAATTTTATAAGAATTTCGGTTTCGATAGAATGATCAGTCAATTGAGTCTCTATAGAAAAACATGCTGTTTACTGACTAGTTATACTATATATGGTGAGATTTTATTTCATGTCTGAGTATACTGAAGTGAATAAAGTAAAAACTTTTCTATAAAGAAAAACAATATGAATAAATTGACCGTTGTATTATTGTGGTAGTTAATTCTCTTTTGGCTTTCGAAACAGTTGTTCATTCTCTGTAATATATAGTGTAAAAGATTATAATTCAGACATATCTCTCACCATAAAAGGAGAAGGTAATTTCTTTAGGGGACGATTATATTGAATGATTATATTGAACGCTTAAAGTCAGCTATATCTTTCTTCTTAAAGTCGCTAAGATCATGCAGCCTTACTCCGGATCGAATATTACCTGTGGCTCAACTAAAAGCGTTTAGAAGCAACACAGCGTCAGTTGGTGTCTAACTTGATAATGAACCACAACAGGAGAAGCTCATGGAAATGAGAAATATAAGAACAGAAGCAGTGAATAGTGAAGATATCACGACCGTGTGAAATACAGTAAATCTGTGACCGTAATCTGCAAATATATCTGTTCCTAAGATAGAAAAAGGTTTGCCTTACCGGTAAGATGATGTGATGAAATCTTAGTGCGAGAGCGTACTGTTCCTGCGACATTCTGTGAAAGTCAATCATGCACATTAACTTCACTTTACGAGCTGCTTCTGCTAGAAACAACAATAACATCACGTGGAGGTCCCTCGCTCGGAACACCAATAAGCTCACATTGCCTTACCACATTTACATAGATCTGGTGGTCAGCCGATGCTGTGCTCTTGGAAGTGAGCGTCGATGCAGATTCTGAAGACTGCATGAGAGGTCAGAGGGAAACCTTCATTCATTCATCTTTGAGTGGGAACGAGAGTGCTGTTTCAGGGATCATCAACAGGCATTCGTGGCATCAGGTGCACAGCCCTCCCGATGTAGACCCATGTTGCCTCTGGAGTACCTTGATGGCCGGTGCAAACGTGTAGCTCAGCATAAACCCTTAAAAGCCACCTTCCGCCGCGAAATACACTGCTATACGTGATCCGCACTAATTTGTCCCCGGCATGGAATAATCCTGTAAATTCATCTGGGTCATAATATTCGAGCATATGATGCTGAGCGTTTTCCTTTTTGTGAACAATAATGTCTCCCCGTTCTGGTGCAAAATCTGGATCACTTTCTCCGAGGATGCGAATTCCCTCGCCGAAGTTGATCCTTTTCATCTCTTGGATGGTTTCCGTCAAATCAGGGTCGGCATATTGGCTGCCAGGGCTGGACCAGTAAGAGGGACGGGCTGGTTCTGGGTCCCGTTCCTGCTGATCCCATTGTGCTCGATGTCCATCGATAGGTTCACCTTCATGATCCCGTTCTACATGAGGAGATGCCGTTCTTTGCCTGACAGATCGTCCTTGTCGACTCTCTCCCTCACTTTCAGAACTCCGCTGTCGTCTGTTTGCCTGTTGCTCAACATGACGGCGAGAATGTATGTTCGGTGGAATCGTCATGCTGCGTACATCTTGAAGATTTCCTTGTGCTAAAGATTCACCTTCCGTATACTGTATCGGCTCAGAAGATCCGAGTATCGTGACTGTCACATCTCCCATTTTCAGCCGACGGAGTGCATAATCTTCAGAAGTCGAGACAGTTGTTCTGGAATTTCTAGCATTCTCTCTGGCCTGTCCTCCTGGGGTCGGAGTTGGACTCCGAGGTGCTCCTCGTGCTTGGGAGTCACTCGGCGCAATATCATTACCACCAGGAGGCTCAAGTACTGTAACCGTGACACCTCCGAATTGTACCCGACGATATGAGGGGACAGGCACGATTTGAGTTGGTGTTCCAGGTCGTTGCCGAGGAGAAATCAGCGGACCGATTCTTGCATCTGTTGCTGTTTGTTCTGGTGGTCCAGATGTGTGAAGGTTCGACTGTGCCACTCGAGCGTGTGGAATGAGCGGCTCGGGTGCTGGGGCAGCTGAGTCACGGTCATCCCCATCTTCCGAAGCAGGTCCGAATACTGCTTCCAAAGCCCTTCGGACCTCGTCTGCATTCAGGGCCTCATCTCTTGCTGTTTGATCGGCTCCTCCGCTGTCTCTGGGATCCCAACTCGGACTCGGACTCGGACTCGGGCTCGGGCTCGCAGGCAGTACGAGACGTGGTCTTCGGGTTCGACGCCGCCGTCTTGCCGCTGGGACAGGGTTGTCCCTTCGCGGAGATTGATTTCTCGGAGGTGGTGGCACAATTACCGGTGGGAGCTGTGCACGCCGAGGATCCAATCTACGAGGTCTCAACGGACGACGACCGAAATCTTCTTCATCATCTGACGAAGGTCCGCTTTCTGAGTCGATGTTGTCCCCTCTGGGTGGAGAGCGGGCCGCTGGTGGACCCCTCATATGGTTCCGATTCCCAGTTCGGCGGAGTTTACTGGGTCTCTGGGTGCGCACGGGCCCGTAGTTCCGAACCTCTCCTCCGGCCATGATCCGTTCATACTCCGCAACTGGATCGATGTGTGGTGGAAGATATATGTCCATGAAAGCCAGCTTCAGGTTGGCCAAATCCTGCAGTGGTGTTATCCCGTTCGCCTTCGTTGGATATCTCGCCGGTGGTTTGTTCAGACGCCGTAATTCATCTCTCATTCTTCTCCTGTTGTAAGAGCTTCCCACTTTATCGATGAATCTGCCGTATCTGTCTCGAGATTGGCCGCTGCCGGAGATGATGCCTCGTCCTAATCTTCCCAGTGCATCTCTCTCAATGAATGCTTCGTTATCATATTCCGGACCTGTTCGTGCTCCTTCGCGGTAAGGATGGCCCTCTTCGTCGAAGAATAGTTCTATTGTGGGTGCTCCTAGAAAATTTTCTCCTCCCAAGTACGGCAGATTGTGGTCTGTTCGCTCTGTGACTTTTCGAAGGTAGATGCGTGGCCCCACGCCATCTCCGGCATCAGCATTGCGCGGTCCGGCCTCGGGAGCTTCGTCGTCGCTGTCTTCCTCCTCTGTGTCCTGGTCCTCAGCTTCATGAGCTGAATTATCAATGACGTCGGAGTTGTCCATTCTCGTCGGATTGAGACCTGCCGCAAGAATCAGCACTTTAGTAGAACCCATGGACATTGGTGGCCTGCATGATAAAATATTGTCAGATCTTCGGACAATGTGGAAGGAAGAGTAGGTACCGATTACTCGGATGACAGTTCTCGGACAATCTGAATCTCAAATTTGGCCTCGTGCCGGGTCTCCATCACATACGAGCATTGTCCCATTATCTTCACTGGACGTAGATTGTCGTCCATTCAGAACCTGCGCAATGAGAATAATTCTACGTACGAGGACAGTATGATATTGATAGCCTTAATTCTGGACAGTAAATCAAGAACAAGTTAGTAAAACTGCACATTGATTCGCACGACAGCCATCCCTGTATCTGAAGTTCAAAAATTGGGCGCGAATTCAACCTTAGGCATTGTGAAGAATTTCTCAAAAGTATCCCAGACAATGTTGAACAGAAAATCATTCGTACAAACATGATAACGAAACAATTCGAATTTACAACAAACCAGACAAGAAGTATTTCCGGTCCACCTGCACCTGGGAAAAGCACGCAGACGACCAAACATTCTTAAACAGAGTGGTGTTCTGTACATCAATTAGTGCGGAATTTGACAAATTCCAGAGAACGGTAAAGCTCATAATCTTGATACAAGCTAGGGACACGTCGCTTGGGTCAGGGCGCGGGTTTCAATCAGGCCATATCATCAAACAAGCTTTTCAGGACGGTCTCCTGCACAAAAGTGATGAAGATGTCTGGAGTTATCAACGAAACTTATTATTATTATGATTTGAAGAGAATGGAAGGCAGCGACAACGTTGGATGAAATTCATGTTGGCAATTCAGATTCGTATCTTCCCAATATTGTTAGATTCATGATTCCTGGTTGTGGTCAGGGACTCAGAATGGTGGAACTCTCTGTAAGACGTGGAATGGAAACCTCAGAATTCTGTCAATCAAAATCCCGTTAAGACGCATAATCTGATTGTGACAGAGCCTCCTTCATATATAGGATGAAAATGCACAGCTTCGTAGATCTCTGCATTTCATTGAACTCTAGAATACAAAGCCTACACGATCCCACGACCTCACACAATCCAACTCCCATATTTCTTAATTCTCTTTCGCTCGAAATTCTGAGATGAATTCAGGTTAACGTTCGTCGAGACAGCCGGTGTAGCATCAAAATTGGTTCTATTGGCTCGAAGCAAATCCTCTTCTATGCGTCTATCAGGTTACATTATCTGATTGGCAGGATTCAGGTAGCTTGGGGTTAGATTAGAATGCTCTGGAATGCGAAAAAACTGTTTGTGACTCCATCAACAACGGGTATGATGGGACTAGGTCCCGTAGAATCACAAACGGAAATATGTCTATTCAGCCCTACATATATTGACTACCTAATACCATTAGTAATTAGGGGATAATATTGCGGTACTGTATATGCCGTGGATGGATTGCATTGTGTGATTTTCTCTTTTGGACCCATGTCAACGTTACTATCTACATCAAACGACTATAGTATCGTCATCGATGGGATTGAACTTCTTCAATCCGATCTAAATTTCGATTGTCTAAATTTCAAGTTATTTAGTTAAAGCATCACCACTCTCTGTAATTCCATCGGTATAGTGTAATCTCATGTTTTGAATATTGAGTAGTTTCTATACATTGATTTCAAAATATTGTGGATCTGAAAGCAATATAACGTTTGTACAGAGAAAAGAAGTTTCATCCGATCGATGATGATACTGTAGTCGTTTGATGTAGATAGTAGGGTTGACACAGGTCCAAAAGAGAAAATCACACAATTCAATCCATCCACGGCATATACAGTACCAGAATATTATCCCCTAATTACTAATGGTACTAGGTTGTCAATATATGTCAGGCTGAATAGACATATTTCCGTTTGTGATTCTACGGGACCTAGTCCCATCATACCCGTTGTTGATGAGGTCCAATTGTGAATCATTCTTGCAGATTCTACTAATGAAACGTAATTTTGATCTCAATCTTGAGAATAGAATCATAATATTACACCGTATAGGCAGGCCTTTTATGTTTTCAAATTTAATCGTTGTTCTGCTCCATGTAGTTTCAATGAGAGCTAGAGGTTGCGTCAACAAATTAATGCTCATAACTGCTCCCTGAGGAGTGGCGATATCTGATATCTTTATCTGGAGGATGCAGAAGTAGAATATTCTTCATACGGGTTTGGTAGGTGGTCCTAGCCAGATGGAAGTGGTTCTAGTCCTCCTCTTTCACTGACTCTCACATGTCAGAAATATAAACTGAGAGTTCCTTTTGAGCAGGTTTCATCTGGCTTATGGTCGTTACGTTCTTTTCAAGAAGAAAAGCCAACTAGATAAATGTACGTGCAAGTCATGAATTTATATTACGCAATGCCCCATTTGATAATCATGGAACAGCGATTCCAGATCTCCAAGTAGCCCAGCTAGCTGGCATGGGTCAGTTACTGGGTTTAAGTCTCAAGGAGTACGGAGCTAGGACTCAATTGTGAGATGCGATTCGAGGCCTCTATTGATTCCGGCAGGACAATGCAGGGGAATGTTGTAGCTTTTACACTGAAACTTGTAGCTTTTATTCTGTATGTAATTAATGGAAAACAATTTAAATAAGAGCTGCCTTAATCACCAATACATTCATCAATTTACACTCATGCAGAACTAGTAACAAATCCCTAAGCATCAGTTTGGTTTATATTGAAGAACTCAAATAAGTATGCTGCATTGGAAACATTCTAACAGTCATCAATGTAAGAAAATTGATTTAGCCATTTTGTGCATATATCTGAGTTCAATAGATATAAAGATGTACACGCGGGACTTATCATCCTGAAACAGGAAGGCTCACTTTACTGTGATCCCATCCTTAAGGGCAGAGCCATGCCAGATTTAAACACCATAACATGAAAACTCATGAATACATCCAGAAGCTGATGTAGATGTTTTGTATCTCCCACTTTCGGGCAGTTTCGGATGATAGGAGTGACGAAAGTACTCAGAAGTGCCTAAAGAATTTGCTTCTTTGTTGCTCAAGAACTTGGGTATAGGATCATGCAAGTCTTCTACGTAAATACAACTTTCATTCATCAAACTCCCACATAATCAAGCTGCCAAAATATACTTTAAATATGAAAGCTGTCAACCTTGCACTTTATTGACTCTTCACTATTTTCAAGTTTACTTCTCTGAAGTGAGAAACGATTTGCCTCACACAGCATCGCTTTTCACTGACAGCATGAACCGATTGAATCGTTTGAAATTCCAAACTTGCAAACAAACGCTACTTACGAAGTCTAAAGATCAAACTAGAGCATCGATATGCGTTTTAATTGCTGTACGAATGTAACTTACGAGCACAAACAGATCTCGCAACTGTTTGAATTGTCGAGCTACTCATAGTTGATTATTATAATCGTACACCGATCTAGAGAATAGATTCACAATTCCTCCAAAATCTCTATTCAGTTAGCAACGGTCTTCGTGACCATAGTAGAAGCGGTGAAAGAAGCGCCATTGGATTTGAGCCAGTTCGCTTTCTCTCCTTCAGGTAAGTTCTCGAGCTGAGAGAATAATTCATCGGCGTTTGAGGACTTGAGAATCCAGCTGCCTTTGGTGGAATCCTCGGTGAAGACAACACCCGTGGGCTTGGCTTCGCTCTGGCATTTAGTCATGTCCGATTCAGTCGCACGGAGCAGAGAACGACGTCTGCAGCTCTGGTACCAGTAGCCGGATGTGAAGCCTCCACCGACGTAGCAGATGTTTCCCGTGCCGGACGCGACTTGGCCGCAGTTGCAACCACCGTTTCTGTAGACGAGGCTGGCTTTGCAGCCGTCCATGTCTGTGAATAGCACCGAACCACCATTTGCAATGCAGCATACTTGGCCAGCGATGCTGTTGAATGAAGGGTTTCAAACAAAGTCTTTGCCTTTTTACAAGGAAGGGAACAGCCAATAAGCAGGGGCTGCCAAAGTGATGGCTTGATCACGTCGTCAAAGATAAATAGAACATGCGTAGTAAAGTAACTGCGCCGTAATCCTTTCGGCAGAAATTTCTCGTAGATTATTGACGCTGTAGTCGTTCTGCAGTAAGTAGCCCTTAATTCAACATTCAATGCGGAAAGAGCTCTTCCATTGCACTATGACTTGAGATTCCCCTAACCAGAGAGTAAAAGTGATGCTCGGAAATTCGAAACAGTAGGTGCAAAAGAAATAGGGGATTGCAAAGGTGAAACAAAAGCAGGGACATATGATATGCGTAACAATGTTCGGCCACATTATCTCTTTTGATGAGCAAGCTCAAGTGTGTGCATATGGGTTAAATACTTGGATATATTTTCAGGAAATTTGCATCCAAGTCTCACGTGCGTCCTACAAACATGCTCAGAATTTCACCTCAGCATCTTAGTAACGATTAAACATCATAGTGCTCCTTGTATTCCATTTGACGAATGGATCGGTCCATTCGACTTCACATTCTGAAAATGCATAAATGGATGGGACACGTACATGAACCAAATCTATCATAACCAGGGTGGAGAGAAACTAAGGGCTGGATCCAACAGTTCAGCCGCAGTAAGTTTGACCTCCGTGACCTAACCATAGATGAGTTTCTTAAAAAACTTACCTTTCTCGACTTCAGCGTGGCAGGTTATGGGTCAGGAGGGAATTCGGCCCCTAGACATGGTGCGTAGAACACGTTGTTTCGTAATAGCATGAAGTCTGTCGAGACTCTGATCCAGGTGGGCCTACATCATACTGACCACCCCCCATGGGCTGCTTGGGAGAATTGGCGAAAGGAGTACGAAGCTCTAGGTCACATCGTCCTGAATATGTCAGTAGAAAGAGACTCGATGCTCATTTGTGGACTCTGTGTCACTGAAAGATCAAGTCACATTGTTGTGATCATCACGGACGTCATAAGCGTTCTGCAGCAGGTGAAAATCAAAAGATCAGCACTCTAAGATGAACAATGAGAGGCAGGATTGGACTCAAAGGAAGTTTTGTGCGTCATCCGCTGGCATACATCTTGCTTCTATCCTCCTTGCTTGAAATTTCATGAAGTCCTCGTAAAATTATTCTTCATTCGGGGGACCCTGGTGATGTGTATCTTCTCTGTTACAGGGCTAGGACCCGATTCTTGTTCCATCACGACGTTCATTGCAATTGCGATTTGATTGATTCACACTGCAGTACAAGCTCCAAAATGCGCTCAAATTGAATTATGCCAGCTCGAAATCCACGAGAATGTACCGAAGCAATGGCATGACACACAGATCTCCGAACGAACGCTTAAGGGGTAATTCATATTACCATTTCTGGCATTGCAAAATGGTGTCGATTCAACAATAGTTGACTCTTCCAGAACGTCGTAGCTAGCTAGATTGCTCAGTACGCATGATCCAGAAGATTAAGGAGACGTGGAGAAAGGACATGATCGAAATATTATAGAATAGCTACGGGAATTGACTGATTAAGATCTTGAGGGTACATTCATGACTGCAGGCGGTTGATATGTATAGCCTCCCCCAATATCGCAGACTCATTCACTATCCAAATTACAAGAAGGAAATGTCGT